GACGTGGTCATGGGCGGAGAGGAGGTGGTCCCCAGCAAGGGGGCGTTGAGGATCCTGCTGATATGGCAGGTGACATGCATGAGACGAACATGTCGTCTTACAGCCTTGGAATTTATCGCACTCCAGTGCCATCGCAAATGACCCCATCGGGTCAATTATTGATCACGGGCTCGAATATTCAAGGAGTGGATTGGGGTAGATACTTCTCAGGCCCGTCTACTACTGATGAGGATCGAACGACCCGAGATTTTTATAGTGAGCGCCGACTGAGTTATGGTTCCACATCACATGCACAGGTATGAGTTTATTAGTATTGAATTTGAATTTGTTTTAACTGTAAGTTATTTATTTTTTTAACTTTATTAATTTCCTTTTTAAGGCTTCATGCGATGCTGCGACAGATGACTACATTCAGGATCCAGACATGATGATGGTAAGACAATATAAATTGTTGTGAATTGTTATGTAGTTTTCTATACTAAGTTTCATATTATTATGTAGCCTTCTACTGGACCTGACAGCACCACCGATACATGTCATCCTGCGCCGCATCCGGCTATAAGAAGACAACTTGATGATGATGATCCTGATAGCGCACCCGGGCGGGAGGGGATGTGCCTCAGGCCAGCGACTGCATTGAGACACACTGGATGCGGGACACATTGATTCGGCCTTCCTTTTTTTTATTTGATGTAAATAATATTTTTGTATACATAAACAACAATATTTAATCGAATATGCCCATTACTTTTTTTAGTTCCCCATTCGTTTGATAGTTTCATATAACAACACAAGCACTTAAACTTAACTTCCACTTCAATTAAAATAAAATTTAGTACAACAAACAAGGAAAACATTACTACAGCACAAACACAAACATAGCAGGCCAACATAATAAAAATACATGAAATATGAAAAATACACTAAACACATACATGTCAATATTTAGCCCCGGTTGCCATTTATTCTCCACTCCAACCACTTAAATCGTTCTTCCAGTTGTTCTTTTTCTTCTTCTACCTCTTTCAGTTTCGCCTTCACCTCCGCAAGTTCCCGTTTATATTTTTTTTACGTTCCTTTTGTGCTTCACAATTCCATTGTGTTTTCCATTTTTCTTCTCCCACCTCCTTCAGTTTCGCCCTCAAGTCTGCAATAATTCTATTGCTTTCTTTTTCATGTTCCCGTTGTCTTAAACACACATTATGAAGATAATGCAGTTGTTCTCTGTAGCATTCCTGGTAACATGGTTCATCAACCCATTCCTCAAAATCACAAATAGGTTCGCCGGGAACCTTGTAAACCTGGTTCTTATAGTGCTAGTAGCGGCGTCCAACTTCACCACTGTCCCAACAATTTTGCATCAAGCATGCTTTTCCATACTTGCACTTTGGGGGACAAAGAGGTTGAGCCATTTATAGTATGTACATTATTACCCCGATTATTATGAATAGCGGTGCGAACTTCAAAAATACCTCTTTCGTTATCATACTGCAAAAATGAATGCCAATTTGCTCGCCATCTGTATGTCTCAAATCTCTCCATCGGCATTGGCATAAATTCAACACTCTTTTCCATCAATTCCGTTGCAACTGCAGACTGTTCAACAAACATCTCCGCCATCTGCTTGAACGACATCCGCACCATGGCTGTGACGGGCAATCCTCCTGCCGACTTCAATAACCCATTGAATGACTCTGACACGTTTGTAGTAAGAATTCCCCATCGTCTACCACCATCCGCATGCAAAGTCCACTTTTTTGGGTGATGTCGCATTAACCAACAATAGACTGCCTCGTCTTCTTGCTTGATAGAATCCATATGCCTCCGGAATTTATGTTGTTAGTGGTCTGTTGCTGCCATCCACATCAAATCATGTAAATCCTTGTTGGGATGTGCCTTCTGGAAATTGGATTTAAAGTGCCTCATACAGTAACGGTGGTATGCATAAGATTCTTGCCATACAGGCAAGTTCTCTACAGAACTTAATATACCACCGTGCCGATCAGATATTAGACAAATACCTGAACGTTGTTTGACAACGTGCTCTTTCAGGTGGTTCAAAAACAACGTCCACGTCTCTTTGCTTTCATTGGCACAAACAGAAAAAGCTAGAGGAAATATCTGTCCATTAGCATCCACTGCCACGGCTATCAATAGCTTGATATCGTACTTTCTATAGACATGAGTTCCGCCTATGGATATTACGGGCCGGCAATGCGAAAAACCATCAATTGCTGGCTTAAATGCCCAGAACACGTAATTGAATATGTATTCTGTGTTCCCGAACTCCGCTCAAACTTCCATTCAACAACTACCCCAGGGTTAAAGTGCTGCAGTACGGCCATGTACTTTGGCAGAGATGCAAATGACTTATCCCAATTACCGTAGACAATTTCAAACGCTCGTTTGTGCTGAGAAATGCCTTTCTTTTCGTAATGGTATGGCCATATTCCTGGTGGACTGATGCAATGAACTCTTTGATTTTATACCTTATGGACGCTTCAAGGTGCGGAATAAGTACAAGAGAAATCAAGTCAATATCCAAGTTGAAGTGATTCCCGTTGAATGTGTCCATTTCGCATGTGTGGGTGGGAATGTATTTACCCACTTTCCACATACCTGTCTTCTTCTTGGTCGCACGCAACATCCAATTACATGGCCAAAACCACCTACAGCAAACAGCCTTGTATACCATCGGACTTGACTCCCATACCTGCATCTCACGATACTCTTTTACGTTGTGCATTTTACAAGCCTTGCTTACACGGGCTTTATCAGGAAAAAGCATCCCCCTTGCAAGCACCATTGGTCTAGACTCATCCCACATTGCTGTCCGGATTTCATCAAAATCCCTTGTGAGAGCTTCCACATCCGGCACGGTTGGCAAGTTATCAATGTAAGAAATCTCTGTTGAATGAAACGACACTTCGGACTCGTACACTCTTCGTCTAGGGGGGTCTCTCTTCAAATCAGGTCTTTCCGCCTCATCCTGCGCATCACCATCCTCATGAGGAAAGGGTGTCTCGTCTACGGATTCATCGGCATTGTTATCGTAATCACTGTTTTGTTCCTCGCTCTGTGCATCTGCCAGATCCCGCTGTAATACGTCGTTTTCAGGCAATTGAGTGAGTACGAGTGGTTTAACTTGCTCGTTTTCATTGCACAACCAACAAAAATATAAGCTACTTAATTAATAAATGCTTTCCATATGGCTATATCACTTCACTTACAAGTCGTAATGTGATGAAATTCAATGATGAACATTTTCAATTAGGTGATGACTACCGGATGGGCCAGTTGTAAAATTCATATCCGGCTGGTACCCCCTATTAAATATATGAGCGTTAATACAAATTCAATACACCAAAAATATACATAATTAACACAAATGAAAATTGAAGTTTACCACTCGTCTTGTGAATTATGGAAAGTAGGGTATAAATTATTTTCTCAATGCTCATTCACCATAAATTATTTTCTCAATGCTCATTCACCGGCGGTAATAAATTTAAATCAAGGAAAACTCTTTCATCCAGAACCTGTCCGGCAAAAACTGCTCCAGAATAACCACCCGATGACTGGGGGTTATCTCTACTATGCACAACCTCGTTTTTTGGAACGTCTTCGACCTTCACGTACATCTCCAACATTGTGATTACAAGAAATTCCTGGCATTCATCCGGAGTCCTCAGAAAATCACTTAAACTCCGAGTAAAAAGCAACCCCTTGCGGGGTGACGGAATACAGATATCTTTCGGTTACTTTAAGTATCACTGGACGTTTCCTCACACTCATTTTTTTGCATAACAACGATATCAATTTATCGTACTCCATTGTAAGTGGTAATTTAACATGACACTGAGCAGGTAAACTGTAGTCCACAGAGTTATTCTCCATCACAACCTCACCCCCCTCCCCCCAATATAATGAAACTCTTATTCTACGCTCTTCAGATATAATGAAAAAATGCTGGAGAATTTAACAACAATAAACGTTTCAACAAGAGTATTGAATGAATTTCTATACAATCCTAACCTCTTTATATAGGAAATAGCTAGCCGGATTTTTTTTTATATATATATAGAAACCTAAAAGTGGGCATTATACGCTTTTGAATTATTGAAGTCAGGAATTATTGGTGGGGCCAGGAAAAAGGTGTATAGCGCCCAAATACTGGACGTTATACATAAAATTTTATGTATAGCGTCGGGTATTTGGGCGCTATACCTGTTAGTGTCAGCTTTCTATGTATAGCGCCCAAATACTGAGCGCTATACATTAACGATACAGCTAACGTTAATGTATAGCACCCAATATTTGGGTGCTATATATAAAAATGTCTATTTTTTTTTACACCTATTAAGGTGCTACTTGTCCCAAAGAACCACCGGACTCGGCAAGCCTGATGTAGGCTGAAAGTACTTGTGCAGGATATCGCCAGCTGCCCACTGCCGCTATCTTTTCGGCCGTGCTTCATCAAACTATTCTTACAACATCATATAAATTAATATTACCCCAAATTATTATTGATATGCAATATTTAATTACGTTGTGTTTTATTTTATATTTGACACACTTTCCTTTTTAGTCTGTTCTTAAAAGAATGATATATTTTTATATTTATAAATAACTAAACTATAAACATTTTATTTTTACCTTAGCCACAAAAAATATCAATGATTTATTTTTAACTACAAATTTTAATTTTTTTAAAAACTTCATGTTGAATCAAGTATCCATCACATAAAAAAGGGATGGAAGCAGTCTTATGCTATAGATTCTAATTTTGTTATTCATTTTTAAATAAAAATAGATACTCTTAATTATTCATTTTTGGATTCATAGACAATATCTTAATAATAAAATATTTAATTAAATTTAGACATTTCAATCTTAATAAAAACAACCGGGCCTTTGATTTGAACAAATTGTATTATGAAATTGCATGACGTGTCCCCTCAATGCCTGATCTTTAATATTTATCCTCGTTTTTTATTTAATTAAATAAATATTTTTTCTTCACCAAGATTATTATAGTTCCTCAAGGTTGAATTTCTTGTTTGGGGATGAAAACTACAAGTTAACGATTGATTATTGCTAAAATTGTTTGAATGTTGATCATTTGTGTTAAAATATTTAGTTTAAATACTGAATAGTGATTTGCCTTAAAAACTCAACTTTATTGTTGGATGTTAGAAAGTGTAGAAGAAAATATAGTAGTTTTTCTTGATTTGGTGTTGTTTGACTAAATTGGTAATTGAAAATTGTTTTTATTGGTATTTAGAGGCTTTATTTTAAATTTGAGATCATTTGGAGCAGATTTGGGATGATTTGATCGAATTTAAAATTGCTAATTCCAAAAATACTTTGTTAAAATAACATTAAAAAAATATGCCAAACGGATAGTCTTTGAAATCATTTTAATTGGATGAAGTTTGTGCATAATTGATCATATAGGGAAAGTAAATATAAAAGTTTTCTGATATTATTAATGGCAAAACTGAAAATTCCTTTTTGTATTTGCCGCTCATTTGGAAAGGTTAGCCATGAAATTGTAGTAATCTTATTAGGTGGTGGAGAAGAGAAGAGATAGACCGTTGGAGAAAGACTCGCATCATTCTTCTTCTTCTGGCCGCGCCTCCTCCTTAATTACAATCAGAATTGAGTTTCTGAAATTGGAGAGAATGAGCAGTTCAACGGGTACGCCTAAATTTAGTCGGAGCCGGTCGCGATTAGGGAAATACGAATTGGGTAAGACCTTAGGAGAGGGCAGCTTTGCAAAGGTCAAGTATGCCAAGAACGTACGGACAGGCGATAGTGTCGCCATTAAAATCATTGACCGCGATCGCGTCCTCCGCAACAACATTATGGAACAGGTAACCAATTCTTTGTTTCTCTTCAACCTGCATGCATAATCTTCACATCATGTTATTTCCTATGGGCGGCTATGACTATGGTGTTATCTTTCGGAAGGAGAGCCTTGGTATAACTGGTAAAGTTGGTGCCATGTGACCACTAGGTTCGAGCCATGGAAACAGTCTCTTGCAGAAATGGAGGGTAAGGCCGCGTACGATAGACCCTTGTGATCTGGCTCTCCTTCAGACCCAGCTCATAGCGGGAGCTTACTGCAGGCTGCCCTTTTATGGGGGTTATCTTTCGATGTAAACTTTTCGGGTCTTATCTTAGCAATTATGCCTTGAAAAGGGATAACCACTCTGTCATGGATTGGATAGTATACTCACAGTTTGCATCAAAATGTTCTGGAAGAAGAAAAATGTCAAGCCAGTTAATTTAAATTACACAGTAACTACTAAAAAATGAATCTTATATTTATATACAAAAAGTTGGAATAGGCCGTCTGTACATTTTCAGAATACATAACAAGCGACCCAAGATGCAAAATGTGCGTATTGATGAATGCATGAAGACAAATGTCAAATGCCTGAATCTTTTTGACAGTTCTACCTCCTATGCTCAAGTTGGAATAGTCAAAGCAGATAAATAAAGCTCACAGAGCATATATGGAGGTGTCTTGGTACTCATTACCAGATTCAACTTTGCAAAAGAAGGAAATCGACGGTGAAAAGATTAATATTGGTGGCGCTCCTAAATGTCTCTTAGAAGTGGAGAAGGGAGCTTTCCCTCCTTTGATGCGTATGTGAATGTAATTAGAGTTTACTTCTCGTGAACACTATAATATCATGTGAGAACTAACAACAACAACAACAACCCAGTAAAATCCCACAAGTGGTGTCTGGGGAGGGTAGAGTGTACGCATACCTTACCCTACCCCAAGGGATAGAGAGGCTGTTTCCGATAGATCCTCGGCTCAAGGAGATGAAAAAGACAAATGTCTTATGCCTGACTCCTCCTTTTCGGCACAACTTACAATGTTTCGAATATACATTCAATGATATGTGTATAATTTACGCAATGAGGGGCACCAATATATATACTCTTTATGATATCTACTTTAACTATTTAACATATCTAACTGTAAAAATGTATATGTGATGTTGCTTTTGTTCTAGAATAAAGTTAGCGGGAGATGTCAGATGGATGAATAGCCTTTACAATTTACTTTTGAATTAGAAAGGGAAAGTGATTATGTGATCCAAGATGTACCTTGTTGACAGATTAAAAGAGAAATATCAACGATGAAGTTGATCAAACATCCAAATGTCATAAGAATCTTTGAGGTATGTTGTGATCCTTCGGCCCTGGCTTCTTCCTCATCACTTATAAACATATAATTCTTTTGTGAATATTTCAATGCCTATGCCGAGTTATGGTGATTATCTGCTTCTGCTCCTATCACTGTACAAGGTTGCCCATGTTTGGCTCATGCTAGAAGGTGATCCAACACCAAGTTTTATGAAGTTACATGCCCTTAAATTGTTCTTCTTCTCTAATGATATCTCCTTGAATGCTTCATATCTTTTTAATTATGTTTATTCTAACTCTGGTTGCTATTAGGTTATGGCTAGCAAGACGAAGATCTATATTGTCCTCGAATATGTTCATGGAGGAGAGCTCTTTGATGAAATTGTAAGTTTTCTTGGAACTGTTTGCTAATTTCAGATTACATGTTCATTTTGTACTTATTCACAGCTGTTATCACATTTTATTCCTGAGTGAAAATCTTGTATTTGCTACTAGCGTTTGTATCTGAATAATATATTCTATAGGCTAGACATGGCAGACTCAAAGAAAATGAAGCTAGAAGATACTTTCAACAGCTTATTAATGCCGTTGATTACTGCCACAGCAGAGGCGTTTACCACAGAGACTTGAAGGTTGCTGACCCTTAATCTCATTTTTTTGTTAAATACTGAAGTTCTATTCCTTCACGCTTTGACTAGTATTAATATTCTGTTACCTGACCTGTAACCATTTGTAGCCTGAGAATCTGTTGCTGGATTCATTTGGTACTCTTAAAGTTTCAGACTTTGGATTGAGTGCACTTTCCAAACAAGTTCGAGTAAGTATTCTGTATGTTTGAAAATTTAAGAGTAAATAAAGAGTCTGTCCTAAAGTAGATAACCTTATTTAGTACTATACAAGAGTCAAATTAACAATTTTTTTGGGTTTGTTTGATAATTGATCAATGCATTTTATGGAAAGAAAGTTCATGGATTTGAAAAATAACCATAAACCACAAAATTTTAGGTTACACTATAAGATAATGTGAAACAATCGTGATCGAAGAAAACATCCACTGCCAATGCTCTTTGTATATTGACTGCCAAAAAAGTAAAGGTATAATCGCCAATAAATAAGTAACTAAATGAATAAATTCCCGCACCTGTTACAAATTCATACGTGGATGTTCCCCATCATCCCTCACTGTAATCACATTCACAACTCCCTCTCTAGTATTGTATAGTATTATAGCTGATGGAAAACTGTCATTGTTATTACAGGACGATGGACTGCTTCATACTGCTTGCGGGACACCAAACTATGTTGCCCCTGAGGTAACAACAACCTACAGCATTGTTATTTGACAGCTAAATACTTATTAATATTTTTTACTGGTTTCCTGCCTTTAACAAGAAATGTTGTATCAGGTTTTAACTGACAAAGGCTATGATGGTACATCAGCTGATGTCTGGTCCTGTGGAGTCATTCTCTTTGTTCTAGTCGCTGGATACTTGCCTTTTGATGAACCAAACCTAAATTCTCTGTACCGAAAAGTAAGTTTCTGAAGTTTTTGCCATCTTCATTTCTTTTTAGAGTTGTTTCTGGAATTCTTCCTTCATTTATTTTCATAATTCTACTTATATAATTTTGTAAGTCAATTGTTGTCAGATCCTGAAGGCTCATTTTTCACTTCCACCATGGTTATCCTCCAGCTCAAAGAAACTGATCAAGCGTATTCTTGATCCAAATCCACTCACGGCAAGTCCCTTTATCTTTACTTTAACTGCTTCCTCGAATGAGCATCTTTGGAATGAGCTAATTCTAATAAGGGAAAAAGGTCATTATTGCCCCTGTACTATTGGCATTTAAGCATGTTTCTCCCTCGTTATACTATACGTTCAATCCCCACCCTACCGTTAACAAAGTAAGCCAACTCAGACTTCCACTAACCTTTAATCCCAAACCCAAGACCAAATCAGATAATCCTTAAATTTATCTTGTGTTATTTTTTATTTTTAAGATAAAGGGGATTTTGTGGGTCCCACTTAATTTTGAACTTTTTAACTCTTTCTTTTTCTTCTCCTTTTCTCCTCTGTTTCCGGCGTTATCATCTTCTCCGTCGAATTCAAAATTCAACCAATCAACTTTGATTTCTATAGCAAATTCAGATCCTTTTGTTTTTATCATGTCTTTAAAGGTGAGGGAAAACCTGGGTATATCTAGAATTAATCATTATTTGTTGCTGTGAAGCTAAATTGACAAGAGTCTGAAAGAAAAAAATCAAGTTTACTTAGACATCGAGTTCCTCGGCATTTTCACTATGTCAACTTCGAAATCTGAGCTTCATAGAATATTTGGAGGTTTTCTGTGTGATTTGAAGCTGGAATTGAGGGGCTAAGTTGTTCCTAATGCTTGGTTGCTGTTGGGAAACGAATCGGAGCAAGAAAAAACCACCATTATTGAGCAGCTTTTAAGTATTGAAGTGGTTTGAATTGAACTCCAATTTTTGTATTTGAAATCAGATGTGTGTTGTTAAGTATACTTGGTATTGAGTAGAAGAACTTATTTTTGAAGTTTGAGAGCATTTGGATTGGTTTGGTTCGGATTGAATCGAGTTGTGGAGCTGAAAATTGAGGAGAAGTGAGGGTCTTTAAAATTAGGGTTGATAAGTTGCTCATTTGGCGTTAGAGAAGTAGAAGAACTGATGTTGAAAAAAGAAGAAAGAGAAAAGTAAAAGAAAAAAGGAAAAAGGAATTAAAATAATTTTTTGGGTAGTGAATCTACAAAAATGCTAACATGTGTTATTACGTGGCAATTTATTTGAGGGTCCTGGGTGCCACATTGTCAAAACGTTAGGGTTAGGGGTATTTTTGCTTACTTCGTTAACGGTAGGGTGGGGATTGAACGTATAGTATAACGAGGGAGAAACATGCTTAAATGCCAATAGTACAGGGGCAATAATGGCCTTTTTCCCTTCTTAATAAATACTGATCTAAAGACTTACCTTTCATATTAGGAATTATGTAGAGTACTCAAGAACTGACCAAAGTGCACGTTTAGGAATATTCATATGAATAAAACTGGATTTCTCTTCACCTGATTAGTTTGATGAAATAACATTACTTAGTGTTCAAATCCTCCCCCCACCCCACCACACACACAGGAAAAAAAAAAAGATTTCATGTTTCTTGTTTCTTTTTCCTGATGAATCATTTCTAATGTTTTCTTTCAGAGGATCACTATTCCAGAGATCCTTGAAGATGATTGGTTCAAGAAAGATTACAAGCCACCAAATTTTGAGCAAGATGATGATGTCAATCTTGATGACATTGATGCCATTTTCAATGGCTCAGACGTAAGTCACTTTTCCTTTCACACCTACTACTGTTTAAGAGTTCAAACCAAGTTCTTTCCAATTATAGTCACCTCCTACAAACCCGACTTAAAACATTTATCAATAAGTTTTGAGTCACGAGATACTTACATTAGTTAGAGATATAATTTCAACTGTTTGAGCGACAAGCATACCTCATGTGCCCCGGCATGTTAACAGGGTCCATTTGAGTTTTTGGGCCTTGTAGTTGGGATGAGATTTTAAAGTGAGGATGAACAACAGAAGGGCCATTTCCTTTTGTATTCCTTGAGAAATTTAATAATTGTAGAGGATATAGTTGGAGCTTAATAAGATTAGCTGAGAGTTTATAAGTAGTCTTGAGAACCTAACGTCCTATTTGAATGATATGCATGTTTTTTTGGCAGGATCATCTCATTACAGAAAGTAGGGAAAAACCTGCTTCTGTCAATGCGTTCGAGCTCATTTCAAGGTCAAAAAGTTTCAACCTAGAAAATTTGTTCGAAAAGCAGGTGATACTTTCATATGTCTTGACACTTCATATATCAACATAGTGATAAATAGTTGATATAATCTGACTTAAAAAATATGTCAAAAAGTGTCTCTTCTGTTTCTATTTTTATTCAGATTTTGCTGCTAATGCATTTTCTAATGTATGGATCCGCAAAGTATAGGGCCTTATCAAGAGAGAAACACAATTTACTTCCAGGTGCCCTGCAAATGAGATTATCTCCAAAATTGAGGAAACTGCAAAACCTTTGGGTTTCAATGTCCAGAAGAAAAATTACAAGGTAACACCTTGCACCTTCAGCATTGGATGTCTGGATTTGACTGATATCAATTGACCCTAGTCCCAAGTGGAAATTTGACCTTTTACCAAATCATTTTTTCCTAAAACAAATTCTTAATCTTGACTATTCCAGATGAAGTTACAAGGTGACAGAACAGGAAGGAAAGGCCACCTTGCTGTAGCAACAGAGGTGACTACTTCGTTCTTTCCAATAGAAAGTCTTTTAATTAGTTGCTTCTTAATATATAATAGCCTCTCTATCCCTCCGGGGTAGGGATAAGGTCTGCGTACACTCTACCCTCCCCAGACCCCACTAGTGGGATCCTACTGGGTTGTTGTTGTTGTTGCTTCCTAATATTAAATGGTTTAAATGGTGGGTTATTACTGACTTGAGAATAGGGTCCTTACTAGGACTTGCCTTATTTTCCTTCTACAATTTCCTCTAAGGAAAGAAGGCTACAACCATTGTAGATTGCTACTTCAGAATCAGAATAGTATCATGTAAACGACATCCCTCTCATTGATATATATTGGTGCATACTTGTTACTTCAGGTGTTTGAAGTGGCTCCGTCGTTGCATTTGGTTGAGCTCCGGAAAACTGGTGGCGACACATTAGAGTTTCACAAGGCATGTTCTTGTTTTAATTCCTAGAATAATTGTGACATTGTGTATCATGAACTCTCCTGTAATTATTGGAAGACCATAGTGACTTAACAGATTCTTGGACCTTAAAAATGGCAGTTCTACAAGAACTTCTCTTCGGGATTAAAAGATATCGTCTGGACATCGGAACAAACCTCTGAAGAAAAAAGGTCTGTTTGCATATTTAGTGTATTGTTAAATGGAAATGTTCCTTATATATTTGACTTCTTCTAATAATGTTCCGTGGCTCTTTACCATTGTTAACTTAATGGTGTTTCTTGTTCAGGTCTTAATAAGTGGCTGTTCCACCCTCTGTACAGTGGCTATAATGTTCAAATCAACCTGTAAAGTCTCAATGTTTGTAGATGCTATCCGCACAGTGGCTATATTGTAGATGCATCAATGTTTCATTGTTTCTCTGTCTGAATTTGATCCATACACACAGTACAATAGCAAGATCTGTTGACACCAGTTTCTCAAGATGGCAGAAGCACTCAAAATGAATATGTTTGTACAATTCAATACATGGGATCCTGTAAGATTATACTGACAAGATCTCCATCGTGTCTACACCAACTGCTGCAGATATGTAGGGAACTATTTTCCTATTTTCAATTCTAGCTTTTGTTTCCATCAAACTCACAGGTTCTCCTCTTCTTTTTTCTAGTACCACCTTCATCTCTTATTCTGAACTAGCAGATCGTCCTATTATCCCTTTCCCATAGTGTGTACAAGTAGATTTTTTGCAGAAAGTTTTTATTTTCCTATATTTTCAAGGGACATCATCTCTTGACCACTTGTATGTTCCCCTATATAAGCTTGGTTAGACTACTGACAATAACATCGTACAAGCCAAAAGTTTACAAGTTACGTAAGTTGTGTTTAAAAAGCAGGAACATGAGCTCAAGAGACACTTGCAGGTGATAGAATTGAAAAAAGAAGAAAGAAAATGAAACCACAAAGAATCATATAAGTGCTGACAGCAACGTAACAATGGAGTTGGCTCTAAGAAGAGCCCAGTTAAATCAATTGCCTACGAACGTAACTGGTCATAGAGCACTCTGGAGGCAATCTCACAGCGAAAATGAACATTAGAGCTCAGATTATCAAGAAAATTACAGATATGTATAAGTATGAAGAACATAAAGCAATACAAGTTTTGCATAATTCTAATCCCGACAGAGGTGCCATAACAGATCACTGGAACAGGATAGCCACATCCAAGTAATCTCCTATCTGCAGTGGCAAAAACAAGTGAACACCAAATTCCGAAAAGGTAGGTTGAGGTTGATGATTCCATATAAACAAAGCATTTACCTGAAATTTAAGTTCACTCAAAGTTTTGCTGCCACTATCTGGTCGCCTCATATTTGGATAAGAAAACGTTCTCCCCACCTTCACATCAGGGGGGTTAATAAACACTATAAGATCACTGTTGACTTGAAAAATATTATAACAAATATTGTTCCATTAAAAATCGCAAATGGCAATCCCAGATTTCTCACACAATAGTACCATTTGAACACTAAAATTTGATGAACACTAAAAGAAGAAACTTTGAAACTATTGCACACATTGACAACTAAATTTACTACTAGTTGATTGTGCAAAGACAAAGAAGTCAGTAGGACATGATGAACTTAGTAGACAACTTGAACATGTAGGATGGACAAACTTTAAAAGCAGTAAAGGTGACACGTTGTCGCATCATGTCTATCATGTTTATAAAGTCCATGGAAATCTTCAAATAACTCATCAGATGACATGTTCAGGAAGTTTTAGTTGTCAAAGTGATAGTCCTTTATTCTAGTGCCAAACTAGTCTCGGAAAATGTGAATAAGAGGGCATGATCAAATGAAAGAACATCTTGCACGAACTACAAACATGATCCACACATACACAATATGACACGTATCATTAACCATCCAAAAGTCGCAAGATAATTAAAAAAAGGTGCAGAAGCATCACACATACAACAAGCACACCTTCACATGTCAACACCAAGTTCATATACAAACAAGCATATAGAGAAAGAAGTGAGAAAGACCTCTCTAACGACAAATTGGCCCCTTTTATCAGGATAGACAAAAGCAAAGGACAAAGTTGCATCTCTTCGTCTTGCTTCTGGAGCTACCTCTTTAACCTGATACAGTCGCAGTAAACAGATAAACCACATGAAAGAAGGTTTGGCATGGAAATATATTAGGATATAAAGAAGAGTGAGGAAAAGTAACTGCAACCTAGGGCGCGGCCTAATGGTTGATGAAGTGAGCTGAGAACCATTAGGTCTCAAGTCCAAATCCCAGAGGAGGAAAGACACAAGGTGATTTCTTCCCATCTGTCCAAGCCTCGGTGGATAGAGTTATCCGGTACCCCTATGGTGGGAGGTAGCATGGACCTCGTGGAATTAATCAAGGTGCGTGTAAACTAGCTCGGATACCACAGTTATTAAAAAGATTTACAGTACAACTGCACTGGCATGTCCCTGAAAGCCGATGATATACAAATTGTACCACAAAACTAAAATGAATTTGATTACTTATACCGCTGCATTTTGCCTGACATTTAGGCATGCCGAATAAGTTTAATAGTACATTCTGCTGTCAATTTTGGTGAGTAGTTATTCACGTATAACCATCAAGAGAGACTCAATTTTGTCAGAACCTATTCAACTGTCTAAGCAATTACTGATAACATCAATCGGTTCAAGACACCTTATACTCTTGCCTTCGTACTGAATATGATCAATATACCAGCTTATTGAGGTTTTTTATTTCTAAAAAACGGGGTAGGAGAAGGAGAAATTAAGGAGAGGATTACAAGGTGGGAACCAGACCCCACTTGTGGGATTATACTGGGTGGTGGTGGTTGTATTACAAGGTGAGAAATCGAACCCTCACCAATAAGGTGAAATTTCAGGTAGCCAACCTACTGAGCAAGTAAGATTCCCCTCATTGAGGTGTTAAATTCATAGTATTTCAATGATCTTCTATATGTCAACTGACAACTCAAATACACGCTGTATACATGGAAGAAGACTCAGCACTCAAGAAATCCAACAGCTCATCTTCCAGACAACTAGAGATATTAGTAATTCATACAAGTCAAGGACGGAAGGCATATTGTAAAAAATTTGCAACAATCTCTTAACATCTTAAAATGCTTCATGCATGCAACCACATAATGAACATGAGGATATACAATGAGTAAGGGAGACACCAACTAAATTGGAGAGATCAGTTTACAGATATAACTATATAATATTTGTCACTTTCATCATACCAAATCAGTTAATTCACGCAGAGTAGCATCCATCCATGTATAGATTTGGACCTCATCTTTGGGTTCCTTGCCTCTCACCGCAAACTCATTGTCACTGTGATGGCCTCCAATCTGTAAGTTCCAAAGTAAAGCCTCCACTGAGTGTATTGCTGATTGACCATAATACCGATGCAACATTTTTTTTCACACTTTGTTTAAAAGTGGATGAAACCCAAACTATGCTCACAGTATCTGTTTTTTAGTGACATCAAAAAGTGAAGCTTACACAAAGCATATACATTTTGAAAGCACAATCTTGCATATACTTTTTAGTGCTTTCAAACTTCCAAAGCCGTTAAAACTTGAGGATTACGTCGAATAGAACACCTTTGACAGATCTTTGTCTTGCCCATATAGTTTTTTTTGGTATGATAAGATGTCTTGCTCATATAGTTATTCCATGAACCAAGGAAGAAACAGCAATAAAATATAGAACTTGTACCAATCGAAAAACATTTAGAACTTACCATCTATCCATAAATAAAACAAAATACAGAAATTATTTAAGAGTAATAGAAGTGATGATTTTACAAGAGAACTAGCACAAAACAAACAATGGAGTTCTTTTGGAGTGCATACCTTAGTGAAAACACGAAGCAACAGAGGACAAGTCTGGTTTTTGATGGAATCCCCAGAAACAAAAAAAAGGAAATAGGATATTGTAAGTAACTTCCAGTATGCAAAGAAAAATATTCAATTTATGTCCCATGAACTCACATTAACATAGTATGTGAGAATAACAAATACAAAATGTTAGTAGAAAAAACACATGCCAACTAACTCTAGCGAAAACACACAAAAGAAAGACCACTCCAGACAGCATGTATTGTCCCAAGATAATACAAAGTGATGCCAAGATCTCAGTTCATATTTTTGCTTGTATTGCTTTCCCTCCATTTCGTAAGCAACAAGGTCAACTAGCAAAGCAAGTGCCAGCATGCCTTTGCCATTTTTTTGTCTGCCCCTGCTGCATGGGAGGGAGGAAGGGCAGCCGAGCTTCCATTCTTTGGAAGTAAATGCAAAAGAAGATATTCTATTTATCAAATTTCTGACATAAAATTAACAATCACAGTCCTTTTGGTACTGTACCAAATAAGGGACACTGTCTTTTCACAATTCACAGGTTCTTTTATAGATTGGCAGGCAAAAAACTTGTGTTACATATTCCTCCTCTGTTAAAATCAGCATAAACTTGGAAGAAAGTGACATATCACCTTTGAATTATATTTTTATTTTCAAATTACATAGTGGTGACTCTGTAAGTTCTAAATTCTCAAACTTGCATTTTTGGGGGGCGTCAAACTTCGATTTACCAGATCAAATGTCATTCATTGTACAATAATACACTAGTCAACTTAGTATTGAAGCGAAACAGAGTCCAAATGGAGTAAAAATATGGGCAGCCAACTAGTATGCGATCATAGCATAGTAGTATAGTTGTTGCTGTTGAATAGCAATACACCATAAACACCAAAACCCTAGAGAGTCCAATACAGAAGATTAGGTTCGAAACACCTTGAAACAAAAAAGGCACAAGCTTACACAAACTATTTAAGTCCAAAACCCATCTAATACTAACAACTGTAACCAATTCAGAAAACAAAAACAAAACAAAACAAAAAGAGAAAAGGAAGGACCTTTTCACGATCGACTGGTTGAAGGCGGGGAGCAAGTCTAGCGGGAGGTGGACCAAGCGGGCCTCTCGGTGGTGGAGGAGGTAATGGTCTTCCCCTTCTCTGAACATCCGCCATTGCTACTCAACAGGGTTTAAGCAAGTTCTTTTTTCGCTTTGCTCTTTTGCTCTTGGGCCTTTTCATATCAACCCCTGTTGGGCTCACCCCAATTTGAGCACAAATCCATTTGACCGGCACAATCCGTTCAAAGGTTGGGCGGTCCTTGACCCGCCTATTCATTGAACTCAACACATCTTGACGGTAGAAATTCAAAAATAGTCAAATTTATAAGTGGTCATTCAAAAATAGCCACAATTTTAAAAATAATCGAAATTTAGCCACTTTTTATGTAAAGATAAATCTGAAGAAACCAATGTTCAAAATCCGGAAAAATACTCCATCATAATATATTGGAGTTTGGAGCACCGGTGCTCCACTCTCCAGTATATTATACTGGAGCCAACAAAGTATATTGGTCCAGCATAATATGCTGGAAGTTCGTACACAAATGCACCGAACTCCAATATATTATGCTGGACTGGTCTCTGTTGTAGCAAAATAATGGCTATTTTTTATTGACTTGGCAAATGCTGGCTATTTTTGAATGACCAGTCCGAAAAGTGGCTAGACGGTGCTATTTTATCCATCTTGATCCATCTCATCTTAATCCATTTAAAGTTGGGTTAATTTTTAGCTCAAACTGATCCATGAGTAATTACTTTGCTAAAATATCTATAAAATAATTTTTTTTTTGTTTGATATGTTATATATGACCATAACAAAATGAAAAGAAAAAAGTTTTATTCAATAATGAAACAATTCAAGCTTGATTAAAGTTGGACGGGTTGAGCCATGACCCAAGTTTTAGCCCATCTCAGCCCAATCAACTTTTTAACAAATTATTGACACGCTCATTATTGACCTCAATCTATTTTGATCTGGGCCAGCACCCTTAAGCTCACCAATTGGATATCTGAAGGAGCCCGTTACAAGCCGCTATAAGTTAAGTGTAAATTAGTCAAATTATAAATTTTAATACTAATGATAATTAGGTTAAGAAATTTGATAAAAGAAACTAAAGTAAGAGAGGTAAGAATAATATTATAACTCAGGTCATTGTTATAAAGTGAAACCTAAGATAGGTCTCTAAAGTATTAGAGTTGTCAATATGGGCGGGGTCGGGCTAGCCCAGTCTACATGGGCTTTAGCAATGGACGGGCTGGGTTGGGCTAGCCCACCATTTTGATAGGCCTTATAATGGTCAGACCACCCCAGCACTATGCGGGTTGCAGGCCTCCACGGGCCGGCCCATCATTTTTTAAAATTTAATTTTATATTTTTTCTTTACGTTCTAATCTTAAAAACATAAATATTTAAAAGTTAAAAAATCTTATTGGAAAAATTTAACAAAACTTAATAACTTTTATATTGTTCCAATATATCACAATAAACACTAGAAAAATAAAAGACAAGACTATATTTTGTTCACTAAAAGTCAAAAGTCAAAACAAACTATTCGAGAGAACGTCCATGAAGCTTATGAGATATCCAATACATCATCTTCACTTTCATCTACATCTACAATTCAAATGCAATATTAATTAGTTAAATATTAAGAATAATTAAATTTTTAAAAATAATTAACATTTTAAGCCTTTGATGTTTTAATATGATGAGTTTAATAAACTTTAAACTTGGCATACTCTTCTTGTTATTTTTAGTATCATATACTTTTTAGAGAAACTTTCAGAAACCACTATGTTTTAGTGGTTATTAGCTAGTTGTAGCTACCATTTACTATATTACTTCATATAGCTATGTTTTCAGATTTTTTAGAGTGTATTCGATATATTTAAGCTAGTGTATTCATGAATACAGTAGCATTTCTAGGCGTGAATGTCACGATCCTAGTTCGCCCTCCGTGAACTGCCGTGACGGCACCTAGTCTCTACGACTAGGTAAGCCTAACAAATGTGGAAAATAACAAAACTTGCGAAAGAAATAATTAAAAGCCAAAATAACCGAATGAAAATATTATTTAAAATGCCGCTCGGCATATACAATACAACTTCTCGAAGATTAACAACATTTCCCAAAATCTGGAATCTCATGAAACCACAAGCCTTGGAATGTCTACCGGTGTATAACTCCAGAATATCTAACAAGGAAAAGAAAATACAAAAGGGCTAAGACAATAGGGAGAGTAGAAAGGGACTTCTCGATCTGCGGACGCGACAGATATACCTCGAAGTCTCTGGAACAGTTGCTTCGCCTCAAGGGTGATAGGACTGAGTCAAAGTACCTGGACCTGCACATGAAAAACATGCACAGAAAGGGCATGAGTACACCACAGCGGTACTCAGTAAGTTCCAAGCCTAACCTCGGTCAGGCAGTGACGAGGAAGGTAGGGCCCTACTAAGGTTAAATAAAATATAAAGTTCGACAGTGTAGAACATATCAGTATAAATAAGTATAGCAGTAAAAGTAACACAAGGTATAAAAGGGCAACAACAACTATTACAGAGGCAAGGTAAACACAAAAAGAAATACGACTCAGCACCAAAATAACAATCGGGGATCTCCCAGGATACTGTCCTGTAGCCCCAAATATACATATCCAATGGATCTCCCGGGATCTTGTCCCGTAGTCCAACTCATAGTGCGCGGGGATCTACCGGAATCCCGTACCGTAGTCCCAAATGTAAATACCCAATACTGGGGGAATCTACCGGGTGCATTCCCGTAGTTCCATATAACCGTGCAGGGGGATCTACCGGAATCCCACATCCGTAGTTCCAAATATAAACAGACAAGGGGGAGCTACCGGAATCCCACATCCGTAGTCCCAATGTAAATACACAGCAACAATAGGAAAATATTCAGAAATGTCAAATTTCATATTAAGGCAAACAAGTAATTCTAGCCTAGCATGTTGCACATAATTCAGGTAAGGCAGTTTGAGCAAATACAACAATTAAATCACTTAGACATGCTTTCCTAAACTAACAACAAACTTAATATTGCAAGTAATAAAAACAGGAAAGGAAACGTACTAGTAATTACTTAATGAAAAACCAGATTTCCAACAATTAGCACAAGTACGCACTCGTCACCTTACGTACAACGCATCTCAATTACCAAATATACCAAATCCTAAGGGGAAAGTCCTCCACACAAGGTTAGACAAGCCACTTACCTCGAACCATCTCAAAATCAATCTGAAACCACGCTCTTGCCGCGAGTACTCGACACCAAATGGCCCGAATCTATTCAATTCAATTTCATAATGTAAATAACACTTCGAGTAACTGTCACACCTCCTTTTTTACCTACACCCCCGGAAGGGCGTAAAGGGTGTATAAGGGAGTTTTTCCAATTAAAGGACAATCGAAATAGGATTTATTTATTTATTTAAAATTCAGAGTCGCCACTTGGGAGATTTATGGTGTCCCAAGTCACCGGTTTAAAATTCCGAATCGGGAAAATGTTGACTCTGTATTACAGTCCACGAACCAGAAATCCGAGTAAGGAATTCTGTTAACTCGGGAGAAAGTGTTAGGCATTCCCGAGTTCCGTGGTTCTAGCACGGTCGCTCAACTGTTATATTCGGCTTAATATCTGATTTTAAACAATTATGAATCTATGTGCAGATTTTAACTTTTGACCGCTTTTAGTTAATTTAAGGAAGATTTCAACGTTATCTAAAACACGTCTTTGGACCACGCCACATGAAATGCACCCGCGGTCCGAGACACATTTTATTTAACGTTGTTAAAATTTTAGAACCGGGCCACATGAAATGTACCCCGAGTTTTGGAAATTAAGCATCACAACTACGTCACGGGAACCAAACCCGTAGCCATGATAATTATTATAACGCGCCAGAAGCACACTACAATGTTCATGATTCTTCCTAAACTTCGAGATTATTGTGAGGCTCAAGTGTTATGGAAGTCAAATGTGGGAGCAAAGAGATTTATCTTTTACGGATACATTTGTAATGCAAGATTTGTTTATTTGGCTCATATTCTTTCAACTGGCCATCGATATAATTTGACAAAATTAAACTTCCCTTTCCTAAATAGCCCAATTACTGCAACTATTAATTTAAAGTAAAGGAAAACTAAAATTACATTAAAATTCCATTTTTTCATACTACTCAAAGGACGTTTTGGTCATGCTGAATTGTTCAGGCACATAAGGAATGAATTGAGTAATCAAATTTCTAACACAAACTTCAAAACTTGATGGGAAAAGATAGCTGTACTTAAATTGGAATTCAGTTACACTTACTAAGATAAACTTATTCACCTTAAGAGCAAAATAAGTCTGACAAACTAGGTCCAAATCTCATTATTAAACACTCGTTACCACAGATCAAAGAATGATACAATTAATAATAAGAGCAATGAGTAAACTAATCAAATCAACAAAATAAATGCATACCACAGGAAAAAAAACAAAACAAACCAAAGCATTCAACAAGCTGAAATAACGAGATGAGATAAAATGAATAACGGATGGACCTTAAATATCTGCAAACTTTCTTCAATATCCGGATCAATTACAGAGCCTCCAACAAGATCGTATAGCAACACTAAATAGAATAACCCGCCAGAGTGAAGAATCGCCAGGACCTTCGACTGGATTTCTAACGGAATCCGCTCGTCGGCGGCGACATCGACCCCGATGAACTCGATTTTGGAGTCGCTGTTCTTCTGTGCGAGAAGGAGAGTAGTTTTAGGTGATTTTCACAGCTGTGTTTGGAGCTGAAGAGGAGGTGTGGTCGCCGGACATGGAGAAGGGAGATTGGTTTTGAAGGTGATAAACAACGACCCTAAAACTTTTTCCTTTCAATCTGCTTTCTGATTTTCACTCGAAACTGGATCATGAACGAAGAAACCAATTTCGTCTAGGGTGGAGATGGTCGCTCTAGGGTGCGTCGTTCATGTCTGTTCCGTGCGAAGAAGAAGAAACAACGACGACGGGATTTTTTGATTCCGGCGAACTTGGTTGACGGGGGATGCAGAGGATCGTCGTCTGGGTGATCGGCGTAAGCTCAGGTGCGGGGTGTGGTGATTTCCGGCGAAAGGTCACTGTTTTGGGTTATTCTGCTGAAGAAGATGAACAATGACAATGGGTCGTTTGGAGAATCTTTTCAGCTTTTCATCAGTTTTTCCAGCCTTCTCCTTTGTTCAGCGTTTTTTTCTCTTTTTTATATTGTAGAACCTAGGTTTTTGGTAGGGTCTTAGTTAAGGGGTATGAACCTAGGAATTATGGGTTTGAAAATTATGAGCTAGGTCCAAAATTAGGCTTAAAAATGGGTTGCTCGAGCCCAAGTTCTATTCTTTTCCTGCGAACGAGATTAAAATACGGTTCCATTTATTAATTAATCCTACTATTCAAATAATTATTAAAATAAAACTAACCATTAAAACAAATCTATTTTTGGTATTTTTAAATATCATATTAAAATAAAAATACGATACTATTTTTATATATTTTTTTAAAGATTTTTTTTAATATTAAAAATGACTACAAAACATTGATGAACCTATTTTTTGTGATTTTTGTTTTCTTGTGATAAAATAAAGTAAAAGAGCCAAAATTACTTGAAATATCTATATTATGCCTAAATTAAATATTTTATGCTAATATATAAAAAATCTTGGGGATGGTCAAAAATCACATGTCTACAGTAATTGATTCTACAAAGAAATTTTAAGCTAATACGCGAAATTACGTAAAATAACCAAAACGCCCCTCGGGCCCACGTCTCAGAATCGGGTAAAATTTATATTTCGAGAATCCTCACACTCTCACGAGTTCAGTCATACCAAAAGTACCAAAATCGGACCTCAAAGGGTCCCTCAAATCATCACTCAAAAGTCTATAATTAGTCAAGCCCTAACCCCCAATTTACCACTGATTTTTCTTAATTTGTTATGCTTAAATTGATAAATATCATTCAAATAACGAGTTTAGGGACCAAAGACCTTACCTCAATGAACTACTCTGAAAATCCCTCTTGAAAAGTGCTCCCCAGGCTTCTTCCCGTTTGAAAAAAGATGAAAATGGCTAAATTTCGCGAAGGCAAGTATTTATATGTTTCTGCCCAGCGATTTCCGCATCTGCGGCTCTGGGACCGCATCTGTGATCCCGCTTATGCGGACCAATGATCGCATCTGCGACAATCACTAACTCGGCCTGATTCCGCATCTGTGACTCCCCATCCACAGATGCGGTACCGCTTCTACGGTTCCTACTGAACCTCCTCATTTCCACTTCTGCGATGCCAAATGCCGCTTCTGCGGCTCCGCACCTGTGGTCCCACACTCGCAGGTGCGGTTATGACAGAAAACTAACTGAAGCTGCAACTCCAAAATCCTTCCGTCAACCATCCGAAATCATCCCGAGGCCCCTGGAACCTCAACCAAAGACACCAACAAGTCTAATACCACTGTCCAAACTTATACCAATCCTTAAAACACCTAAAAAATATCGAAAACGACGAATCAACCACAGATTCAAGCCTAAAAATTCCAACACTCTATAAATACGCTTTCGATTAAAAAGTCTATCAAACCTCGTCCGAATGACCTGAAATTTTGCACACACGTTACATTCAATACTACGAAGCTACTCCAACTTCCCGAATTCTATTCCAACCCTCAGATCAAAATCTCACTATCGAACCAAAAAACTTCAAATTCGACTTTTCGGCATTTCAATCCTAAATTAGCTACAAACCTCCAAAATACAATCTGAATATGCTCTTAAACCCGAAATCACCCCACGGAGCTAACGAAATCATCGGAATTCCATTCCGAGGTCGTCTTTACACTGTTCCGACTACGGTCAACTTTTCAATACTTAAACTCTCGTCTAGGGACTAAGTGTCCCAGAACTCTCCGAAACTCAAAATCGAACGTCCCATAAATTCAAAATATCATAAATAAACACGGGGGAAGCAGGTAATAGGGGATCAGGGCGTTAATTCTTAAGACGACCGGCCGGGTCGTCACAGTGAAATAGGGGATTACAGCTAAACATATTTTTTGTATTCAAGTGTATTCGACTGTATTCATGGCGTGAAACATGGGATTACAAGTGGACAAATTATTGTATTCAACTTTATTCACGACGTAAAATAGGGGATTACATTATTTTTAAATGAAAAGTGAATCAATTAACATAATATACTTCTAATATAACACAACAAACTCAATTATAACACACAAATTTTGTATTTCTAGTTATAAAAAAGATTCTCAACCGAAAAACACCCCAAAACATAGCAATCTTTAGAGAAATTATATAATACATCTGGTTATAAAAGAGATTCTCAACCGAAAAACACCCCAAAACATAGCAATCTTTAGAGAAATTATATAATACATCTGGTTATAAAAGAGATTCTCAACCGAAAAACACCCCAAAACATAGCAATCTTTAGAGAAATTATATAATACATCTGAATACATAAATTATATTAATTAAAAAATATATATGAATGCATTCATGGAATATAGCGAGACAGTGAATACAATGAAATACATGGAATACAGCGAGATATACTGAAATACAATGAAAAAAAAGAAAATGAATACAACGAAATACATGGAAATACAGCGAGATACATTGAAATACACTTAAAAAAAAGATAATAGAATTTTCAAGTTGCTCAACCCCAAACTCCGTCGTCTTTTTTCAAGAATAACCCTAATGTCGTCTCGTCAAGAGGGCCGCGATTCTGACTCAAAACGTCATTGCTCCCGTTACTGTAATACTATTCCGATTATAGAAAGCAAAGTTATGCGAGAACAAACCAATCGACAGAATTGCAAATTGCAGATCACATCTAACCTTTTATTCAAAACCGCCACACAACAACCAAATTGCAGCTTTGCAGAGAATTTCTTAAATCCAAAGCAAAACTTCCCCTAATAACTCATCTGTGTGTTAATTGTGTGTGAAAATAAAATGCACGGAAGACCACGCAAAGCTCCAACAACAGAAGAGCAACAAGATTCTGCTATCAAAGCTTCCAAATTATGTTTTCTCCAATCCCAATTTCTCCAATTCCATAGGATATTCGTCGCTGATGGTAGTGGTGGCGGAGAAGCTTTCTAGGAAGAAGAATGATCGACGGAGGAACTGATGAGAGAGAATCCATGAATTTGTATTCATGGAAAAAACCGGCGTTGAGAGAGAGGATGGAGAAAAATATGAAAGAATGAGAGAGAAAGCTTATTTTATGGCTTAAGGGTAGGAGGTAACCATAAATAAATATTTGGCTATAAAAAATCAAAAGGTAGCTATGAAATATAATTTTTTAAAAGAGTATTTATTTAAAATAAATAAGGTATCAACCTTTGTTATAGGAGGTAACTAATCTTACTTTTTATATTTTAAATATATATTTTTATTAGGCCCACAGGCCGGCCCAGCCCAGCCTCAGTCAAGCCTCCATGGCCACGGACTTATTCGGGCTAGGCTTAAAGCCTCGTTTTTAAATGGGCTTCAAAAATTCTAATCCAACCCTGCTAAATCACGGGTTGGGCTGGTCCTACGGGCCAAACCTATATTGATGACTCTAGAAAGTATCTCAAATTCACTCTACTATTATAATATACAAATTAAACTAATATCTTAGGTGTTTAATCAAATAATTCACTCTATAGTTCACTGGTATAGAGTGCATTTGATATGAGCTAGATTCATGACCTAAAGCTGGAGGTGCAATCGTCGTCAGGAACTACTTTAGGAGCTAGCTCAGCAAATCAAAGTTACGATATATATTCATCTTTATCTCCTTTAAACAAAATAACTCGGCCTCTTCAAGTTTGTTCACATTGTCGTTAAAGGAGGGTTGAGTAAAACTTGTCAATTCATGATAAATTCTCATAATACAGGTAGTTAAATATAGTGAAAAATGAAAGAAAAAAAAATCCATATATGTAATATTTACTATTTGAATAGAAGTTTTAGTTAGAGAACTTCTAATATTATTATTATTATTGTTGCTATTATTTATATATATATGTAACTCATTTTTTCACTTGTATTTATTTTTATGATGATGAAATGAATGAGCTTAAATGGATTAGTGAAAATTCATGTAACCGACTCCAATTTGCTTAGATTTAGGCGTATTGTTATTATTGTTATTATATACTTTTAACCAAACAAGTCTCATCGCATATTGTTATGAGTAAGAGAATGTTAACGTCATGATCGTCATCTTTTGGCACCCAATAATAACAAATTAAACAAAAGGAGGTTTTGGCTCAATCAAATTTAACAAACAAGTGGTTAGTAGTATAAGTAACATCTCAATTTTCCTTAATCCAACTTTGTTGATATTTGATAATGAGAGAGTATAAGACAAGAGCGTAGCGTTGTGAAGAGCATTTTTCTCTTTCTGTTTTGTGTATGGAGGTGTGTGTCGGTGTAATCTACTCATGTTTTAAACATAAAAGGAGCTAGGAGTACTTTTTTTTTTTATTTATATAACAAAATTTAATGCCTAAATTACAGTTAGTAATTTAGAAAATGCACATCCAATTAAACACTTGTATGTGATATTTAACAGTTTCTTGCAGTGTTGATTGTTACATGACTTCAATATTCAGCAGTTTGTAATTTCTTTAACGCAATATTTGTTTTTGAGTAATGATTTCTTTAGTCATGTGCATCCAAACTGTTTGTAATAAAAAAATGCTTAATTATAGTTTATTCAATGAGTCTATTTTGTTAAGATGTATTACAGTTAACAATTCTAGTAAATAAATATTACCTATTTCTCCTTTTTATTAATTAGTTATCAAAGAATCAAGTAATTCAAAAGAAAAACCTTCAATATATATGCTTGTACACTACAAAAATAGCACCACACACATGAAATGGAGAAAGAATATAAGTATGTCTTAGCTGAAACATATACTGATTTAACCATCATTTGTACATTCATAGCCAGAATGAGATTAATTGTTACTCCATAATATAAAGTAATAGTAACAATTAAAATATAATTTTATTTAAAGTAAAAATACAATATAGTACGTAGTTAAAAACACACGATCGATATTCCAAATAACCTACAGGGTTTCGTTACATTTCTTGGCGAGTGCTCAAGCTTCATGGAGTGTGTCTTGGACGCACCCTCACTGTGAGTGGGTTGACCATTTCACAGGAAAGCCTAAGTACCTCAGACAAGTCAACAGTTTTGGTTTCATCAGTAGGTCCAAATTGGAACTCCT